AAGGGAAGTTGCATTCACGGGAAGATACTTATGTTTGAGGGAAGTTTACGCTTACGAGAAAATACTTATGTTTAAGGGAAGTTTGCGTTTACAAGAAGATACTTATGTTTAAGGGAAGTTTGCGTTTACGAGAAGATACTTATGTTTAAGGGAAGTTTGCGTTTACAAGAAGATACTTATGTTTGAGGGAAGTTTACGTTTACGATAAGATACTTATGTTTAAGGGAAGTTTGCATTTACGAGAAAATACTTATGTTTAAGGGAAGATTACGTTTACGAGAAGATACTGTAATTATCCTGTAATTACTCGTTAAAACCAATTTATTCTGTGATTTCATTTCTTTATGAAGTTTCCAACTAATTTAAAATATTTACGAATAATGGAAAAAAATAAAACTTTACAATTCAATAAAACGATTTTGCCTTAAATATCATTATTGCTATGTATTAACGGACACCCCTCTATCTTTCCAAATGTCTCCTTACTCCTTTCTCTTGGCTTACTGTTTATGTGACCTACAGACATAGTTGAATTTATCAGTGTGATATAAGGTTAAGTGTCGTTACCATGCAGCTAAAAAGTGATATTTTTTTTCTGAGTGACCTGATAATACGGCATTTTGTTCATAATAGCGAAGTTTTTAGTGGCAAGTCTAAATAGTTTTAATGTTTTAATCCATACCCAAATAAACTATTAAATAAATGTGAAGCTGTGTTACTTGGATAAGTTAGACAGACCACTGTTCAAGAAGCTAAGGTAGGTGTAGTGCAATGATATCTTCTTATGAAAACTAGTTCATCTGATAACTTATACTTATTCATAAAATTTACCCCCGCTCACTGTGAAAGTTTAAAATTTACTCTGAAACAAATTATCTTAGTTTCCCTGTTGAATTTCATACTTGTCACCGAGTGACATAATTTACATAGGCGGCCATCATGGTTTTAAAAGGCAGTAATGTTGAGGGTTCTATCTGTATTTTTACTGCCTTTGTACTTTATAGTCCTTTGCTATGTATGTATATTGATAGCAGAACATAATTTCTAAGAACTCAGTCATTATATCCTAATATTACTTTGATTTTAAGAGCTGGATGAAAAGACTTAATTAAGTTCAGCATGTTTAGTACTAACGTAACAAAAAAGACAACTACTTTATATTTTTTGTTATAATTGAAAACTACGCGTGTCTTAAATATATGACGCTAAGTAATTCAAGACATACCTGATTATTATATAAAGGTTCATTCAATTTTTTAAAATGCTCTCTTATGAGTCGCCAAGTATAACAATAAATGGATAAAACTATGAGGACCAACACTTCAAGATGTATAAAGTGGTTAAAACCACGAGGACCAACACTTCAAGATGTATAAAGTGGTTAAAACTATGAGGACCAACACTTCAAGATGTGTAAAGTGGTTAAAACCACGAGGACCAACACTTCAAGATGTATAAAGTGGTTAAAACCACGAGAACCAACACTTCAAGATGTATAAAGTGGTTAAAACCACGAGAACCAACACTTCAAGATGTATGAAGTGGTTAAAACCACGAGAACCAACACTTCAAGATGTATGAAGTGGTTAAAACTACGAGAACCAATACTTCAAGATGTATAAAGTGGTTAAAACCACGAGAACCAACACTTCAAGATGTATAGTGGTTAAAACCACGAG